ATACTGCCTGCTATATTCACAATAGGGTCACTCTGCGAGAAGGCACTTCCAGCACCCTCTATGAGTTATGGAAAGGAAGGAAACCTACAGTGAAATGCTTCCATGTTTTTGGAAGCAAATGTCATGTCCTAACTAACAAAGACCAAAAAGGTAAAATAGGTCCCAGAGGAGATGAAGAGATATCTTTGGTTACTCTTCAAGCAGAAGAGCCTTTAGAATCTTTAACTTCAGAACTGGGATGACAATGGAATCGATCAATATAGTGATTGATGATTCAATTATAGGGCAAAGGATAGATGTTGAGGACAATGTTGGAACATCCTTTGTGCAAACTGATGAGGCAGGAAGAGAAGACAAATGTAATTTCTCTAGCATTGTGTCAGATAACTCTCAAGATTCTTCAGATTTCTCTGATAAGGGTCATTCAGATTGATCCAAAGATCTCACTGAAAGACACCATATAGAAAGAAACAGTGCTAGGTTCACAAAGAAAATATCAAACTCATGTCTTGATTGCAGGCCTGAACCAAGAATAAGTTCTATCAGTATAGAAAATAAGATCTTGAATTTCATCATTAGAGCAAAGGATTGTGGTTTGCATTACTTCTACAGCTCAAATATTGTGCTGAAAGAACTAGGCAAGGTAGAATGAATTAGTAATATGTATGGCAATTTATCTCCAACAAATAGTCAGTTTGCCTGCATTAGCAAGAAGCAAATATGTGCTTCTTGGTGTACTACTGGAGCTGAATATGGTGAAATCAGAAGAGATTGCCTTCAATTAGTATGGATGAAGCATATATTGGAGAAACATGATGATAAGGCTGATGTCCTGACATTATGTTGTAAGGATCTGAATGTTATAAGATATTTCATCCAATCAGTCTAGAACAAGAATCCTGACAAGTATAATCAAATAATCAGGAATCTTGATGAAGGCAAGATAAAGGTTGTGATTTTGAAGTGTATGGACTCTAAGGATCAGCTGACTGTTATGATTTCTAATGCCTCATATGGAAATTGTGTTAAGAACATAAGATGTGAAGTGAGGAAAGGTATTGTCGAGGAGTTGTAGCATTTACATAAATGGAGGAATGCAACACATATTTCATCTTTCCTCCACCCTCTATTGGTTTGACAACATTGTGCTTGAGTTTCTTTGTTTCTATTTTGATTCTGTTGTATATGCCTCTGGTGTGTGCTAAGGTTCTTTTAGCCAAAATTTATCAAAGGGGGAGATTGTAAGTTTTGTGGTTTTTGGATTGGCTACATTTTGGTAAAACATGTTGTTAGCAAGAAGTTAAACCAGATATTTTACTATGACAGTCAGACATCATGTCCAGCAAGATGTTGTGACATGTTCCAGAACATGTTATACCAGAAAGTTAGGGTATGACTATTTTGATATTTTTAGTGTGTTTTTTGAGTGTGTTGTAATACACACATGTTCCTTTTTCATGGGAGTATATTGTGTGAATTTCTGTTATGCTAGATTATGTTAGTTTTCATAAAAAGGTTCTTTGAGCCATTTTAGGAAAGTTTTTATTTTGCTCATATTATTGTGCAGGATTATTTGTAGCAAGTTAAAACTGATTGATGTTATTTGTGCGTTTTAAGAACCCCAAGTCCATTAGGTCTAATGGACTGAAGGAGATTTAAAAAGAAGACCTAACCCTATTGAAGGAGAGAACAACACGTGAATAATTTGGAGAATAAGAATTAGCCATGCTTTGGTTGGTCTTTAGGGTCTAATGTGTGTCAATTGTATGTCACTCATGTATCTTCTATTGCATTGAGGTTGACTGATTGTTCATTGTTAATTGTCCACTCTAAAGCTTTTAAGCAAGAGTATATGGTTCTTAATTGAAGCTTTTAAGAAAAATCAAGTATTATCTTGGAAGTGTGCTACTTCTATTTGTTGGTTATTGTTGAATTGTCATTGACATTGTGACTGATTAGGAAGTGAGAGGAGGATCTCATATCTAGAGGGTGTATAGGTATAAGTTGCACAAGGTAGGGATTAGGCGATAAGTTGTAAGCTGGGGAGTTTAGCTTTGAACTGATACTATTATAGTGAATTTCCTTCCTGGCTTGATAGCCCCCAGATGTAGGTGAATTGTACCAAACTGGGTTAATGATTCTAGTGTTAATTTTACTTTTCTGTCATTTAAATTCTTACATCTTTGTTTGTGTGGTCAAGCTATTTTGATCCCAGTGTTGTGACATCTGTCTCGACATCTAGTATCTGCGTGCCAAAATTTTAATAAATACATGTCTAAGTTGTTTTTTTACAAATAATTTTAGGATTATATATGTTTTTAGTCTATAAATATGCAAACATTCAATTTTAGTCCCTCTAATTTTTTTCCTTCAAATAATGATCCTCACACGTCCTTAAAATTGTCTCTCCCATTAGTTTTCACTAACGGAGACCTACGTCTCATGCCAAATGTGTAATTTTTTTGCAAACGTGTAATTTTAATTGCTAATTCGCTATGGTGGAATTGCTGATAACATTATCCTTTAACCCTACAAGTGAGATAATGTCAAATAACTCTTTCAGTTCACATCTCGAGTGAGTGCTCTAGAACAAATCTTCATCCGTGTTGAAAAGAGCTTTTGTGTGGTCCAAGAACAAATCTTTGTTGCAGTGATCCCAACAACAACTTTGTCACCTTCGCTGTCGTGGTCCCAGGTAATTCACTTTGTTGTTACTTTGTTCCCTCGTTTCATTTCCAAATCTTTTACTGGTTATACTTAGTCGCATTCAATGACCTAAGTTATTCACTATGTTTCATATTAATACCATGTTTTCTGATCTTAATACAAATTTCGTAATTGTATTTGTATAATTGTAAAATCTTTGGTAATTTTGTTTGACCTAATTTTGGTAAAATTGTTTGACCTAGTTTTGGTAAATTGTTTGACCTAGTTTTTGTAAATTTGTTTGACTTAATTTTGGTAAATTCTAAACCTAAGTTACTTTTTGAAAAGGAAATGGATAAATTTAAGGTTGTGTTTTACTCAAAGAATTGTTTTGTAAAAGACCCTTGATCGCGACTTTCTATGTCTAATACAACTTAACTGCAAGTGCACAGTCTATCACGTAGTAATAAAAGATATCAATCCCACAAGGACTCGTAATCAAACTAGTGTTCTCGGGAGTTACTATGTTTAGCTAAGTAGATAATGTTTAAGGGAATAATTTCTATCACTAAAGAGAATTAAAAACGTTGCTTGAATTATAATTACGCGAATCGATATGCAATAATTATGTTCTTCGGGATTCGACAAGTTACCGGTATATGAAATATTTTTCAGAATTTATTTAAGAAGAAAAATAGTGATCTAAAGACCTTCGTCTCACGATGGTTGTTGACGCTAGTCGTAACTCTAAGGCGGAACGTAGTTCGGGGTTAAAATCGCTTTTTGGAAATCTCTAAGTTCTAATCTATTTGAAAGTGCTTTCGCTGTTATTAAAACAAATGCCTAGTGTTTACTATCTGGTCCTAACCGCAGCTGTCGCTTGTTGGTTCGTACCTTAATTAATTTCCCACTGTCGTGGCAAAACTACTTTTAAATAAGTTCTCGCTTTCGCGACGAAAGTTTATTCAGTAAATAAGTTTAAACACTCAGACCATAAACAACTTTTGAAAAGGAAAGTTTTCAACCGGTTATTATCGAATCCCGTCTAAATTATTATTACATATCGATTACTCTGGTTTAGCTAGAAATGGATTTGGGAAAGGTAAAACATAAATAAAAGCAGAAACTTAGAACATTCATATTACTGAGAATTAAAGTTACAATTAACGAAATAATGAAAAACCTGTAACGTATCCAATTGGCTTTTGGCCAAATCCCAACGATGTCGGCAGGATTATGTCTTCAAACCAATAGAGCGCACAAATGAATATTGTAGAAAATGGAATACAAGAATAAGGAAAGGAAACAAAAAAAACAAAAACAAAAAGAATGATACTAAATTTTGCTCTGGAAATAAATTTGGGCAGCACTTCGTTGTCTGAATGCGGCTCCCTTTCTCAGCTCCCCTCCTTCCCCTTTTATAGAGGTAAAATTCTAACAGTTGTAATTTGAAGAAGGTGGATTTGGAGGCAGAAAAATTAGGGAGTAGTGGTCCATTATTTGGGACTTGGAACTGGTATTTGCACGTTCAATTGAAACTGTGCGTTTTTGCCTGCATGACCCGTGTGACGGTCGTCACAGCAGCAAAATGCGCATTCTGTGTTTTTCATGTTGTTTTCATCTGGTTTTCGTCCATATTTCATTTGTAATTGCTTCTTTTCTTCATATTGCTTTATTTGGACATGATCTTCAAATACCTGCAAAATATCAGACAAATAACATAGAAAAAACCCGAAATCGGATTAAAACCAGTCAAACATTAGTTGAATTATGCGTCAATATATATATATACGATTTCGCGTTATTAACCCTAACATAAGATTTAATGATGGGGAAGTATATGCTTTTACTAGTCTAGATTTCGATTATTGGTGTTTTTTTGAAGCCTGCGACTTAGTTAAAGTGATTGACCCTGAGTTTGATTTAAGTTGTGTAAAGATGTGGTGGAAACATGATGAAAGATCTTTTGAAGAGGATATAAAACCATTTATGGATAGTCGAGATGCTTCTGAGTTAGCAATGTATGTTGTTGGAAATAATTATGAAGTAGAGATATTCTGTGAGCCAAAACCAGTTACAGGTGAGACACCCTTATGGATAGGGTTAAAGAGAAAGGAAAAGGGAAGTCATGTGATGAAGAGAATGACAAATCAAGTCAAAGTTATAGTGATTCTAGTGATGAATCTGTGAGGAGTGTACACTTTAATGATAGTGAGGAGGAGATAATGAATGAGTTTGATGATGTGCTTGATAAAAGGGTTCGTGCAGGCGCTGATGAATAACCTATAATTGAACATATTCCTAATACTAAGACCCCAAGTGAACCTGACAAGAAGATGTTTATCACAAAAGAGATGGGTAAGGAACATTTAATTGAAGATTCATACATGACTGATGAACTGGATAGTGAAGGTGATGAGGACAGTTGTGATGAAAGGCCATGCATGATCAGGTTCAATGAAGAAGATTCTATAAGTAAGGATTTTTGTTTCAAGGTTGGAATGAAGTTTTCTTCATTGAAGCAGTTCAAAGATGCTATACTAGAGCACAATATTTTAAATGGTTTGGATGTTAGGTTTGAAAAAAATGATGCCAACATATGTAGGATGCTATGTAAGGACAAGGCAAAGTTTGATTACACTGTCCTGTGCAGTAGCGTTTTAACCTCCACAACATTTAGGATAAAAACATTGTTTGCAAAGCACAAGTGTGGAAGATAATTCTTCAACAAAAGGGATAAAACATAGTGGGTTGCCAAGGTCATTGTTGATATATTGAAGAATAATACAAAAATGAAGTTAAATGAGGTGGTAGCTGATGTTAGACTCAGGTATGCCACAGAAATCCCAGGTTGTAGAGCTTTCAAAACAAGACAGATTGCTAGATGTCGCTACTGCGAAAATCGGCGCCGGCTGAACAGGAGAGTCGCCAACGTGCGTTATTTATGCCAACAGAAGGAAAGGAAACGCTCGAAGTAAACCTACCGCAAAGACGGGAAAGGAATGGTCATCGCAACCAAATCCTGGATTCGGGAGTCGGTTACGCAAGGGGAAGGTATTAGCACCCCTCACGTCCGTCGTACTCGACGGGATCCACGCTTGTTTTTTAGTACGGATTTGTTATTCTATCTACTCTACAGGTCAAGGGTTAAAAGAAAAGAAAATGACTCGGCAAAGTATCGCACTTTATGCCTACGTATTCCCGTCTGGAACGAGAAATCAGAGTCAACGTAGTTCGCCTACCTACGGGAAAGGAGGGGAAGGTTGCTCGCTAGGATATCGCGTCCTATGCCTACGTACTTTCATACAGCATGAAAGATATGAGCAAACGTAGTTCGGGCCACGTACGACACAAGTCTGTCTTGATTGTTTTTATCCTTCTGAAAAAGGTTTTCTCCTGCTTACGGGTCCAAGCGGACAAAAATGACACTTTTGATTGGTTTACAGTCTTTTACGCAAGAAGTATTTTTTAGTGTGTTTGCAATCTCTGACGCACTAGAGACTATGATTTGAGAGTGACTATGTCGTATGTCACCCTAAGGGTAACACACTAAGCAATCAGATTACTGAAGAGTGACCCTCCAGCAACCTTTTCTCAAATAGTTTAAGGCTCGTAACGTACGACATTGATTAACCTTATTACTGTGTTTTTGAATTATTTTGAGATGAGAAGAGAAAGGAGCTCTAAAAAGCCTATGGTTGAAAAGGGAATCAAAATCTACCCTAATGTTGGCATGCATGGATGAGAGCCTAATGTCTGTCATATTTATCTCTTGCACAGAGAGAAACAGAGATTCTAGGGGATAAACGGAAAAGCAACAGCATATATACAGTAAAGCAGTAAAATGCATGAATGCATCAATACAAGCGAGGAAAGGGAGTCTCACTCAACCTCGAACCTAGGAAACAACAGGCAAAAGTGAACAAAATTCACTTTAAACCTAACAGGGTAATTATCAAACAATACAGTCAGGAAACTCAAACAATACATCAACAACTCTAAACAGCACCAACAACTCTAAGCAGCAAAATCTGATAGAAACAACAAGTCACCAACACCTTCAAGCAAGGTCTTCATCCATCTACAAACTTCAAATAAGCATCCAATCTTCAAGAGAAACAGCAAGCTACCACAAGCAGAAACTCTAAACAGTAGACAACATCAAACAGCTAAGCAGCAGTAAGTCCTACTTCAAACAGTTGCACAGCTCTGACAGCACCAGCTCCTTCTTCTAACAGTCTTCAAGGCAATGTACTTCATCCTCAATCTTCAAGGGATTCTTCAAAGCAAACTCTCCAACAGAGAAATGATTATAAGAGGATTTTGAATATTAAACAGTCTGTTGAGCACCAAAGGTGGCCTACAGAAAGTTAACATAATACAGACTGTTTCTCTCAAAGTTCTATCTCCTAGATACATTCATTAATCCTTCCAAAGGAGGGATGTGAGTATTAAGGAGAGACTTTTAATCATTGAGAAGAATGGAGGTAAAAGAAACCATCCATGTTTATGAAGAAAATTTCTATTCTAAGGCTCTACCTATACCCTATGTCCTATGGTCTTCAAGCAACTCCAAGCAAGCCAAGAAATCTTCATCAAGCTTTGATTTTGATATGCAATCTTCATCTTTAATCCTTGCCAAGCTCCACAAGCTCTAACTAATCCCACACCCCAAGCGAAAGCCCAAAAAAACCCACACAACAAAATAAACCCCAAAAATGGGCAAACCAAACAATCACACAATTGTAAAATATACTAAAAATAGTAATATAATATTTACAAGCCTAATATTAATTCTAAGGGAAATACTATATCTACCCTATATACCCCATAGGTCCCATACTCTAATTCAATTTAAAAACCCAAAATAAAATGCTCAAGTGCACCTATGTTGTGTTTAAACCCTAATTATACTATCCTAATGTTTTCTAATCAAAACTAATCAAGATTTATTCACAAAAATGTGAAATAAATTTCTAAGGGAACTTAATTCTCTAATCTAGCTACCACAAAAAGAACGGGATCAAAATGCGAGTTTAAATGCCTAAACGAAATTCATCAATACGTATGTACAAACAATATGAAAATAAAAGCAATTAATATGTAAAAAAAATCACCATAAATGGAAAAAAATCTAAAACAATATTTTTATTTCTTCACAATTTTCTTGAAACAATTATTAAAATGAGGGGAAAAAATCCCATGCTAAAATGATCATTTTATGATTTATTATGAATTGTTTTGTAAACCATATGCAAACAAAATAAAATGAAAATGCAATTAAAAAGAATAAAGCAGGGGGGTGGCAACAGCAGTTTATTTATATTCAGAAATATATTGGGCCCAGGAGGGAGGTGCAGTTAACACTGCGCTGGGCCCATGCTACTAACTCAGAAAAAAACAAAAATAAAAACCTAGGGGGGTGCGAATAGCGAGACTCCCTTTGTACTTTCGTTCTGGGCCCAATTAGGGGGTGCTATTAGCAATTGTGCAATGGCCCATATTCAATTCAAACCAGGGGGAGGGGGTGTGAATGGAATCCAGGAAGTATGGTTCAGCATCTCGTGTAATTGGGCCTAAAGCCCGGCTTCTAGACAACCCAATTTCAGCATAAAAAAAACCTAAACTAACTAACATGGATGAGTACTGTTCATCTCTCCCCCCAACTGAAAACCTAGCGGCGCTGCTATGCTTTCCCTCACCTCTCTCTCGGAGAAATCCTTCGTCTCCCTAAATCAAACCACAAAATCCATTCTGTACACACATCACCAGCAACCTATCCTCAACAATAACGTTACCACTAACCAATCGTCAAAACTCAGTTCAAATCACCATACCGAACTAAACGCTTCACCAAATTTCCATGTTCAAACCAACGCCACGAAGTTCTAAACCTAGTAGTTCAACCTAAGCATCTTCAACAATCTAAGTCTACCGCTAACAACCTAACCAGCACATGCAATGGATCAGATGAGAAGAAAAAAGAACCTAGATAGTGATGTTGTTGGAGATCTGATAGTCTTCGAAGAAGATCGTCGTTGAAGCTCAACGGAGATCTACGAATGGAGACAAACTTCTGACAAAAGCCTTGAAGAAACTGGAAAAAACAGCTCGCTGAAGCAAGATATGCAAGGATGTTCTTGAACGACTTGAACGATTCGAAGCTCTTGTGGCGAAATCGGAAAGATTTGTTGATGTTCTTTGAAGAAAACGAAGCAAGATCCTCAACGGACGAAGGAAACTTCAACGATCTGGAGATGACGAACTATGAGGACCTTTGAAGAACGAGGAGATGAGTCTTGATGGTAACTTCTGGAGCTGTGATGTTGCGCGTGAGAAATCTGGAAAATACGTTGCAGATGGATGAACTTCGTTAACGAAATGCAGATTCCGGCGTCAATGAGTTTTCCGGCAAGAAAACGATGGAGGAGCGAAGGAGGTTGAAGATGAGAGGAAGGAAAATCTGGGGAAATTGGGTTTCCGGCGGTCGTTGTGGTTGCCGGAGGTAGTTAGACGGTGGCCGCCGGTTGTTGCATGGTCGGCGGTTGGGTCTCCGGTGGGTTTGACCGGTGGGGACAAGTGGCGCACATGCGTGAGGTGGAGTCAGAGGAGGTTGGAGTGAAGGCGCGTGGCGTTGTGAGGGAGTGCATGGGAGCCGCGTGTTGTGGTGTGTGGTGGTGGTGCAGAGAGAGAGAGCCACGTGTGTGGACTCTGAGTGAGTTGGGGAATGAGGTGGCTATACGTGTGGATTCTGAGAGATAAAAAAAAGTTATGTGGCCAGCCTAAAATCACACACGTGGGATCTGCTTTATACCAACACCTAGCAAATTTGGACCTTTGACTTGGGCTTTTGGATATTACGTGGATAACGGCCCAATTGATTAATGCAGACTAAATGGACTATTACCTGATAATGAATGGATTAATTGATAATTGGACTAATGCAAATGCAGATTAACGTGAAAATGATGGATTAAGGGAAATGAAAAATGATTAATGGAAATGAAACTGGATTAGTGAACTAATTAAAAATGAACATGGTAATTAATAAACCTATAATATTCTAATCAATATTAAAACAATCAAAATTCTAAACTCTATTAAAACCATTATTCTAAAGTCCTATTAAAAAGATAAAAATCTATTAAGAAAAAAGAAACTATTTTCTATTTATTAAAATCCTAAAAAAAACTTCTATTAATTTCTATTAACCAATTTAAATTCTATTAAAAACTAGCAAAAATATTAAACTCCAATTCCAAATTCTATTTCTATTTAAAATCAAAGATGATTATTAAAATGTCAATAAACCTCAAAAATACCTAGAAAAATTCTAGAAAATCCTACAAAAGCAAATAAAGAGAATAATTCCGATACGAGACTGGACTGAAATAAACGGCAACCCCGGGCATCAAAAATACCCTTAAAACAGCAGTATAAGCTGAAAACGCTGAGAAACGCACAATCTTCCGAAACTGAAACTCCGACTATCTGGACTGGGTCTGAAACATCCGGCCAGGTGAAAATCAGGCTGTAATCCCAATATCATCAATTTATGATTAAAATATGCAATGCATGTGATATGCGAATGCGAATGCGAAATGAGTCGAAACGTAAATCAGGTGTGGGACCCGGTTGGTCAAATTTTAGGGTGCAACAGTTGCCCCTATTCAAACGGCTTGGACCCGACTGGGTGAAACGCCCGGAGCCTTCAGACAAT